GTCGTGGCCCTTGACACTGGTGACCTACAGTAAAATGCTCATTACAATTAAAACATAGGCCTTTAGCTCGCCTCCGTTGCATTTAATCCCAAGTCAGTCGCCGAACAGGAGTTGCATGTGCGACTGGCGGAAGAGCTAACGGGGCTCTCATTGGTGGTGGAGGATGTACACATGTTCCCTGTCTTGATAGTTGATCCTCTTTTATTCGCACTAAGCAAATAACCTCCTTTAATGTCTGAGGCTTAAACATTCGGATACGATCCAAAATGTCCGTTTTTAAGCCACCCATAAATGTTTCCACAAGAGCTCTTTGCGTCCAACTGATAATCACGCAATGAACCATCCTGTCGTATCCTTGAAAGGGCTTCATCAAAATCCTCGCACTCCGACCGCCCAAAGCGTGCCCAGAGCTCGTTTTCAAAATCTACCCATAAGAGAGCACGTCCTTCTTCTTGAAACGTCTTGTAGATCCACTGCCACCATGGGTTGGCCTCTCCTTCCAAATGGTAAAAGGTTAAGCAAAATTTCTAGGTTTCGGGAGTATTCTAAAATTCAAAAAATTGGTTCACAAGGTTGAACCACTCCGTCGGGTCATCTCTGGAGAATCTAGGAAACTCCAGCTTTGCCGTTTTGGAGGATACAACAAGCCGTCCCCCATTGTGGCCTTCACGATATGGATTACCCGTGTTTGGAGGCTCTTGGTCTGCAAGGAGTACATCAGAGAGACGGTTAAGAGTTTCTTCCAAATGTCCTAGCCTGTCCGCCATGTCGAGCTCCATCTGGTGTGGCCCATCTTGCACTTCACCGAGCCCAGCCTCCAACTACTCAACACGCTCTTTATTGGTTCCCATAACAACCTGGCTCTGATACCAATGATAGGTCCCAAACGCACTGTGTACAAATGCCAAGATAACTTGTGTTCTCTTCGGGTGAGAAAGTACCACAATAGTTCGGATAATTTTTGCATGGCTTCATTGATAACCTTTGGCTGCTTATTTAAGCAAAGCCACGTACAAACAAACCAAAAATGAAGGGAAACTAGCAACTGGAACTCAAACACGTAAAATAGAACTCAAACACATAAAATAGAGTGTAACAACATAGCAATAACAAACTGAAATAAAATGACGCAGAACTTGCAACTACGGATGAGTAAACTGCATTTCCTTCTGCACGTAAACTGCCACGACCCAGTCCATTTCTACATGGACTCCGTCTACTATCTACGTTGCATGCACGTCCCAACTCATCCCAACGTCGTGGCCTATCAATTCTCCCCCAATCAATTGGATCCTTGTCCTCAAGGTCCAAAATTGGAAATATTTCTAGGAGCTTTTTCGTCTAGCCATTTTTTGGTGGACTTAGACCTGTTTGAATGTTGTTTGCTGCTGGTATGGGTGTAGCTTTAAAAGTACCATATTGTCGATTTCGAATGACACATCCCTCTTGAGTTGGTTACTCTCCCTTGACATCTTCACAAATTATGTTGTCGTTGCCATCGTGTCCTTCCAGCATGAGTAGTCATGGCCCTTGACACCGGTGACCTGCAGTAAAATGCTCATTACAATTAAAACATAGGCCTTGAGCTAGCCTCCGTTGCATTTCATCCCAAGTTAGTCGCCGAACAGGAGCTGCATGTGCGGCTGGCGGAAGAGCTAACGGGGCTCTCATTGGTGGTGGAGGATGTACACATGTTCCCTGTCTCGATAGTTGATCCTTTTTCATTCGCACTAAGCTGATAGCCTTTTTTAATGTCTGAGGCTTAAACATTTGGATACGATCCGAAATGTCCGTTTTTAAGCCACCCATAAATGTTTCCACAAGAGCTCTCTGCGTCCAACCTCGGACGCGATTGCCCAAGCGCTCGAACTCCCACTGATAATCACTCAATGAACCATCCTGCTGTATCCTTGAAAGGGCTTCATCAAAATCCTCACACTCCGACGGCCCAAAGCGTGCCCAGAGCTCGTTTTCAAAATCTACCCATGCGAGAGCACGTCCTTCTTCTTGGAACATCTTGTAGATCCACTGCCACCATTGGTTGGCCTCTCTTTCCAAATGGTAAGAGGCTAAGCAAAATTTCTGGGTTTCGGGAGTACTCTAAAATTCAAAAAATTGGTTCACAAGGTTTAACCACTTCATCGGGTCGTCTCCGGAGAATCTAGGAAACTCCAGGTTTGCCGTTTTGGAGGATACAACAAGCCGTCCCCCATTGTGGCCTTCACAATACGGGTTACCTGTGTTTGGAGGCTCTTAGTCTGCAAGGAGTACATCAAAGAGACGGTTAAGAGTTTCTTCCAAATGTCCCAGCCTGTCTGCCATGTCAAGCTCCATCTGGTGTGGCCCATCTTGCACTTCACCGAGCCCAGCCTCCAACTACTCAACACACTCTTTATTGGTTCCCATAACAACCTAGCTCTGATACCAATGATAGGTCCCAAACGCACCGTGTACAAATGCTAAGATAACTTGTGTTCTCTTCGGGTGAGAAAGTACCACAATAGTTCGGATAATTTTTGTCTGGCTTCATTGATAACCTTTGGCTGCTTA